GAGGCATGGCTGTCAGGCCAGAGTCCATCAGGAAACAGAAGCCATAGCCTGGCCTAGCAGGCTGAGCCCACAGCAGGAGCAAGCTGTCATCTCTGGCCCTGCACCCAGGAGCGTCCCTGCTTCCTCATCATCCACAGTGTCCTGTTTGCAAAGGAGGGTGCCCAGAGCCCAGCGTCAGCCTTGGGGAGCATGCACACACATGTGGACAGAGTGCCCAGGGCGCGTGTATGCTTGTGCCTCGTACACGGGCAAGGGTCAGGACTGCTCCCATTTGCAGCCACACAGGAATATGTCCCACTTGTCAGCCAGGTTGCAGAGGGCATTGGCCAGGCTACAAAACCAAGTTAGAAGGAGATGGCCAGCCACAGGCAGCAGGGGAAACCTTGGCTTCAAGCACAGTACTTTCCCTGACCTGTCAGGGGAGGACCTGGAACCTCCATCCCCGAGGAGGTGGAGCTAGGATGGGGTTACCTCTGCTGGGGTCTTGGGCAAGTGCACCTGCACACCCACTGCACGACACGCATGGGCTGTGTGGGTTCTTGGGGCCCCTGCCCCCGATGAATGTGAGCAGCAGCAGCTTGGGTCCCCTCTAGAGTGTGCTGTGGGCAGTGGGGGCCCACCTAGGCTGTGCAAAGCTGCAGGAGGGCATACAGGGCAGGCTCAGCCTGGTGGGACCCGGGATGGAGGAAGGGTGATTCTGTTGTCACAGCAACATCTGGCAGGAAATTACAGGTCCCGGTGGGGTCGACAAGGGGCAGTCACCCCACCCTTTGCCTTCAACCCCACCATCCCTTTGCCAGCCTTCCCTAAAGCGTCTGCAGCTTCTCGGCTTTGCTCATGCTTCCTGGTCTCCCAGCCTCAGGATTCTTATCTGGGACCATGGAGCAGTGGAAGGACCCTACCGAGGTGTGAGCCTGCAGGGAGGCTTGTAATAACACACACCGGATCCGAGGGGTGGCTTGGAGTGGCTTGCGCACACCTGCCTGGGCCAGCAGGACCTGCTCTGGGCACCAGCAGCAGCAAGAGACCCAGCAAAGGCCAGGGGGCTCTACTGCCATCCTGGTCAACACTTCCCTGCTCTCTCCGTTCTCTCACTGTGGAGGACCATGTGTCATGCAGGTCTTTGTTCTGGATTGATGAAGTCACAGAGGTGGGGGGGAGCCCTCTGTGTATACCCCAGGGGCTGGCTCTGCACCCACCTCCTCCATAACCAACGCCCCCCCCCCAGGGCCATGTGTTTTCCCATCTGGAAGTGCCCGTGGCAGCAGGACCACCTTGGGAGGCCTTTTGAATACATCTGCGTCTGTTCTTGTTCACGGTCACCACACAACATGCCAGTCCCTCTTGGCTGCAGCGAGGGGGCCCCACACTGCAGAACCCAGCTCTGCAGGAACACGGGACAGGCCATGGTCTGTGGCACGTGAGGGTCTCAGGGGGGCGCAGCTGGGCCCCTTGCCTGCTTCTGCACCCTGAAGGGGTGTGTGTGTGTGAGAGAGAGAGAGAGAGAGAGCCCACAGTGGAGGCAGCTGCGAGAGTCTGCCCTGGACCTGCTGTGGCTTGTGGGTGCACTGGACACAGCACTTCCCCCACTGTCCTGGAACCTTCCCACAAGGGACAACTGCCACTTCTTGGGAAGCCCAGGACCTTGGCCTGTCTCCCCCAGAGACCGAGAGCTGGCACTTCCCCTCCAGTGACCTAGGCTCAGTTGTCGGCTTGTCAGGCTGTAAGAGTGAGGACACACACACGCGCATGCGCACACACACACACACACGCACACCTGCAATGGCAAGCATCCCACAGGGGTGCAGTGGATGCAGCTGGTAGCCTTGACAACCCAGGTGCACGGTGCAGAGGGGCTGGTCAGGCTGGCTGAGGCCTGGCGTGGCTGGCATGCTGTCTTGCCCCTGGGCTGCCTCGGGTCACCACCTTGGGAAGCCGCTGCAAACGAGTTTCTCGCCCTCCCAGGGTCCCCCATGAGGTCCATGATGGGAGTCGGTGGCAGCGACCTGTGGTTGGCACTGGATGTGGCATGCCAGAAGCCCTGCTGAATTCTGACTTCTGCAAGGAGGGGTTGGAGCCTGCCAGCTGGTGGGGCCTGGTGCAGGAGAGCTGAGGCAGATGGCACTGTGCCAGGGAGCAGCAAGCGGCTGCCCTCCTGCCCCCTCCAGGTTCACCAGTGGAATCCCAAAGAGTTGAGTGTGAGGACTGCTACGGGGGCTAGGCTGGTGGGACCCACAGGTGCGTTCAGCTGTGCCGGGCAGCCCCTGTCTACGGTGTCCACAGTGAGGTGGGGCAGGGCTGGACGGGTGGCCTGGCCTTGGTGTTCTGCTCCTTGGAATGCTCGGTGCAGCTCCTCCCACCCCCCACCCCGGCTGCCCCAGTCCAAAGGCCGTGTGCTGGGACAGGATGGTGCTGGGGTGAGGCCGCAGGCTGGCCTTGCCTCTTCTGCTAACCGCCCCAGCCCCACCACGAGATGGGGCTCTGCTAGGGCCCCACAGGTGCCGCTTATTGCGAGGGACTTCGCCCGTGGTCCAATGTGGCCCTTGCAACCTCTTTCCCTGCCTGGCAGAGTCAGGTGCAGACTCCACCCCCTCCCCTTCCCGTCCTATCCCTGCTGTCTTGGAGATGGTCCCTGGAGAGCCTGACCGTGCTTGGAGCCCGGGCATTCTGATTGGTTATGACCCACCTGACATACAAGTCCAGGGAACGCAGGCAGCAGGCAGCTGTGGCATCTGGGAACCACAGACGCCAGGAGGAGGGGACCGAGGCTGAGACAGACACAGCCTACGTCAGCCACCCCTTGGGCATGGAGGTCTCGTGCGTGCTGGTATTGTTCGTGCGTTCTGCAATGCACTCACAGGTTGATTTTAAGCATCTTGACCTGTGTGCTATTCATCCCGAATAGCCATAACAGCCAGTGCTGAGCCAGGCCAAAGCTAGGAGCCAGGAGCTTCTTCTGGGTCTCCCGTGGGGGTGCAAGGGCCTGAGAACTTGAGCGATCCTCTGCTGCTTTCCCGGGTGCACTAGCAGAGACCTGGGTCCGAAGCGAAGCAGCCAGAACTTGAACTGGTGTTTATTTGGATGCCGGTATCAGCGGGTGAGGCTCAGCCGGTCTTAGCTCCAGCATCGTACAGCTCGGAGGCATCCAGTACACCCAGTGCCGCCATCACCACCACCCGTTCTAGAACTTTCCCAAACCGTGTCTGTAATGCTCACTCCCCTTTCTCCCTTGACCAGCCCCTGACGGGGGCATCGTCCTGGCTCTGGGGTCAGGATGCTGGCAGCCCAGTGGTGTCCTCGATCTGAAGTCTAGGATTGCCTTGTCCCTGGAACCACCTTCTGCTTGCTGCTGCCGCCTAGTGGCCGATGTGTGGATAACAACGCTGACATGAATTCAGTGCAATATCGTTCCTTTGGACACGCTTTCTCCAAAAGTGGGTTGCTGGTTCGCCGGGAAACATGTGTTTTTACTTTTTAGAAACCACTGTCCTGTTGTTTCACTGTAGTTGTTCTATTCTACACTCCCATCAGAACACACAGGCTCAAAATTTTTTTTAAAAAAGCTTGCCGTTGAAATATTATTTCTACGGAAGCAGTAGTCGCCCTGGTAACGCAGCCAGCTCAGCCTGCCGCAGCTGAGGCTGGCATCCTGCCTTCTTGGCCGGCTTGGGCTTCGTATGCTTCTGCCAGGAGCCGTTGGTAGGTGGTAAAGCTCGCATAAGTTGAAACGCAGCGACGTGGGCTGCACCTTGGTGACGGTGGGTGCGGCACACCCCTCAGAGCTTGCCCCATCTGCTCTGATCCATGCGGATGTGGGGTCTGCTCATTGGCTGCTGGCCTCTTGATCATGGTGTAGTGTCTCGGGCCCCAGCAGGCCAGGCTGTGGACAGGCGGTACCTGCATTGGCTGCCTGGGGCTCCAGGTCCAGCTGCACTCCCTCACCCCCTGCTGGCTCATCCGCTCCAACCCAACCACGGAGGGTGCTGGAGAGGGTCTCTCAGGATCAACCATCCCGCCCCGTGGGTTTCTCAAGTCATGTGATAGCCGTGCTGGGTGGACTGTGTGGGGCTGTGTTTAGACACACAAATGATGTGTTTAATTTGCTGTTGCCTTGTTTTGTTTCTTCTTTCAATTTTTTTTTATTTAAGAAAAAAATTTTAGAGATTTATTTATTAAATGTTTTGGCTAAGCCTTCACCTTCAAGCACTGGAATCTCATAGGAGCGCCAATTCGTGTCCCAGCTGTTCTACTTCCCATCCAGCTCCCTGCTTGTGGCCTGGGAAAGCCACTGAGGACAGTCCAAAAGCTTGGGACCCTGCATCAGCATCATGGGGAGACCCAAAAGAATCCCCTGGCTCCTGGTGTTGGGTTGGCTCAGCGGTGGCCTTTGCGGTCACTTGGGGAGTGAACCAGCAGATGAAAGATCTCTCTCTCTCTCTCTGTCTCTAAAAATCTGCCCTTCCAATAAAAATAACTTTTTATTTTTGAATTGAAAAGAAAGATTTACAGAAAGAGAAGAGGCCGGAAATGGTTCACTCCCCGGATGGCTGCAAGAGCCAGAGCTGAGCTGACCTGAAGGCAGGAGCCAGGGGCTTCTTCTGGGTCACCCATGCGGATGCAGGGGCTCAAGCGCTTTAACCATGTTCCAGTACTTTGCCAGGCACATTAGCGGGGAGTTGCATGGGAAATGGAGCAGCCAGGACACGAACTGGCGCTCCTATGGGATGCTGGCACCACAGAGACCCAAGCTTCTGTGTTACGGTGCTAGTTCAACTCCCCGGATTTTGCCCATGTTTGTGCCACCTGCCCCTCCTCCCACCCCACACCCACCACCTCGTTCTTCCCAGTATTTGAAATGCCAGTTAGCTCCATGAGGGCTGGTGTGTGCACTTCCGGGGCCAGAGGCCAGACACTGCCTCCTGAGCTGAGGACGGTAAAGGTGTGTGTTTTTTCCTGGCACCCCCAACGCAGCCATCATTGCATGCCCTGTTTTCCCACAGCCCCCTTAGGCCTCTACTTCTCAAGGGATTCCTACTGGGAGAAGCTGTACGTGGACCAGCCAGCCGGCACACCCCTGCTCTACGTGCATGCCTTACGGGACATGCCCGGGGAGGTGGCCAGCTTCCGCCTGGGCCAGTATCTGTATGGAGTCCATCGCACCCGGCTGCACAGGAACGACTGGATCCGCATCCAGGAGGACACTGGTCTCCTCTACCTCAACCGGAGCCTGGACTACAGCTCCTGGGAGAAGCTGAGCAGGCGCAGTAAGGGACTACCCCATCCCTACCCATCCCCAGTCCTGGATCCCAGGCCCAGGTGGCTTCCTCATCATGACTCCGGTGGAGCTGCCTGGGAAAAGCCTTGAGGTTCTAGAAAGAGCCAAAGCTCTTTTCGTTTGAACAGCAGAGTCGCAGAGAGAAGGAGACACAACCAGGGAGAGATCTTCTATCCACAGATTTGTTCCCCAAATGGCCACAAAGGCTGGAGCTGGGCCAGTCTCAGGAGTTTCTTCTGGGACTCCCACATGGGTGTCAGGGGCCCAAGGCCCTGCACCAGCCTCCAGTGCTTTTCCAGGACATAAGCAGGGAGCTGGATGGGAAGTAGAACAGCCGAGACTCGAACCCACAGGAGGTGGGTCCACACCTGCCTTAGTCTGTGGCTCTTCCTCCTGCGTCCCCCCCCCAGCACATGGAATCAGCTGGAGTGGAACTTGGCTGCCTGCCTGCCTGAGCCCTCTGGGCTTGGAGAATGGCCCAGGTCCAGCCGTGAGAGAAGCCACGCAGAGACTGGGCCATGCCGGGACAAGTCACTCTATTGGGGGATCGAAGCAGCTCAGGGCCAGGCTAGCGAGAGAAAGCCAGAGGTGCAGGAAAGGCAGATGGAGAAACCTGCCCCAGAGGACAGCCAGCTGTGGCACCTCCCCTGCTCCCATCCTCGGGTGTCAGGTGCGTCCATGGGGGCAGGGTGGCAAGGGCAGCTGCTGAGCCCCACATACTGGTCAGTGTTGCACCCAGCCCCCTTGCGTCCTTCCCTGAGCAGGGACGCTCGAGCTAAGACCTGAATGACCAGAGAGGCAGACATTTGGGGCACTGGTACCATGAGCCCCAGCTGGGGCTGAGAGGCGGCAGTGCCCTGTGGCAGACCCTCTCTGCACCCCCAGCACGTGTGGCCATCTCCTCCTCTCTCTCTCTGCAGATGGCGGCTTCCCCCTGCTCACCATCTTCCTCCGGGTCTTCCTGTCGCCCGTGTCTGTGCGTGAGGCCGAGTGCCAGTGGCCCAGCTGTGCCCACGTCTACTTCTCCTGCATCAACTCCTCCTTCCCGGCCTGTGGCTCGTTCACGGCCCGCCAGCTGTGCTTCCCGGACACCGACCTGGCCTTCCGCATCCGGGAGAACAGGCCATCCGGCACCTTCCACCAGTTCCGCCTGCTGCCCATGCAGTTCCTGTGCCCTGACATCAGCGTGGTCTATAGCCTCCTGCAAGGTGAGGGCCGCCCTGCTGCTCGGCCCCCTCCGTGCCCCAGCATGGCCCGAGCTAGGAGCTGGGAGTGGCTTCTGGAAGGGGCTGGGCTGGATGGACCACTTCTTGGTCTGGGTGGAGGCATTGAGCAGGCAGGCAGGCACCAGGCGTGCAGCCCTAATACTTTAGAGGTTGCCAGGGTGGCCTCATGTGGGTGCATTGAGCCACTGGGCAGAGCAGAGCATGGTGAGAGAAAAGCCTGGGGAGGGGACAGGTCTGGAGGCAACTTGTAGGGCTTTGCCTAAGAAGCATGGGGCTCCATGGAAGGTTATAGGAGGAGGGTGTTGATGGAATGAGGGGCCTGTGTGTGCAGGATGAGGGGCCCAAGAGTGAGACCTCATGTGTGTGCAGGAGCCACTGGTTCCACTCAGTGGTGTCGCTGAGATCTAGCCGGAGGTCCCAAGGGTGCACATATGCCCAGGGCAGGCAGTAAAGCCACAGGCTAAACCCAAGCAGGATCTCCCCCCCCCATCGCCCCCTTCCTTTCCCTGGGACTGAAGTGGGTGTACGGGATCCCTATGCTTGGCTCATGCCCCTTCCCTCATTTTTGTAGAGTTTGGGTTTGGGTGGTGACAGCTGGGAGAGGGGCAGCTCCCCACGTGTGTCCCCCCGGGCTGGGCCCATTCTGTTGGTAACTGGCCATGGGCAGCTCTGGTTTCACCATCATCTGGAAGCAGCCTAGGCTCGCTTTAGGGAAATGGGAGAACCTAGCCAGGACATGGGGGACCCCTGGCAGCCTTCCCTCCTGTCAGGGTTATTTCTGGATATCTCCCTTGAAGAGGGTGTGGTGGCCCGGCCTCCAGCGCTGGCTAGGAGCCACTGTAGAGCACACAGCGAGGCTGCAAGCCCAGCACGGTCTGGCTCACCCCGATTGCTGGGGAGGAACTGCTGTGACATCACAGCAGACACCAAGTGTGGGATGGAAGGAAGGAGTCTCATTAGCCGAGCTTGGCGACGGTGGCACCTGTTACACCCCAGGAACCACTGCCCCGCCTGGCTGAAGTCAGGGGTTCTTTAGCTCCCATGGACACACGGTAGCCAGAGATTTTCCAATCAACTCAAGTGGTGCGTGTTACAAATCATGAAATAATCCAATCAGCTTGTACCTTAGCCGGTCAGTGAGCAAGTGTGTTTATAGCAAGCAGATCGCTGTGGTTAACCACGCTGGAAACCTAGCCCTATGCTGGGGCGATGGCTCCATTCTGTCTTCTTAAAATACCACAGCTGCTCCCTGCCATCGGGCGCCATCAGCCGGCTGCCCCCCGCCACAGGACAGCGGTGGCACACCAGGACGGACAGTGCCGGCACTGGCCAGCGTCCATGTCGTTCAGATACCACAGGTGTCCCCCATGACCTGGCTACGTTCTCCCATCTCCCTAAAGTGAGCACAGGTTGCTTCCAGATTTTTTTTTAAAGAAAAGATTGATTTTTATTTATTTGAAAGGAAGATTTCCATAGAAGGGAGAGACAGATGTTCCATCCACTGGTTCACTCCCCAGATGGCTGCCACATGCAGAGCAGGGACAGGCCAAAGCCAGGAGCCAGGAGCTTCCTCTGGGTCTCCCAAATGGGTGGCCAGAACCCAAGCACTGTGCTCATCTTCCACTGTTTTCCCAGCTGCATTAGCAGGGGACTGGATGGGAAGTGGAGCAGCCAGGACTGGAACCTGTACCCATATGGGATGCCACATTCACAGGTGGAATCCTTAGCCCCGGCCCCGTATCCGATATTCTTAAAGGTTCCCAAGGGGGAGCCTGGCACAACAGCTCAACTGGCTAATCCTCAGCCTCTAAGCTCAGGAATCCCACGTGGGTGTCAGTATGTGCCCCGACTCCTCCACTTCCCACCCAGCTCCTTGCCCGTGGCCTGGGATGACAGTAAAGGATGTTCCAAAAAAAAAAGTCTTGGGACCCTGCACCCACGTGGGAGGACCCACAAGAGGCTCCTGTGTCCTGGCTTCGGATCAGCTGAGCTCTGACTGTTGCGGCCGCTTAGGGAGTAAACCAGTGGACAAAAGATGGTTCTGTCTTTTGTCTCTGTATATCTGTGGTTTCCGATTTTTAAAAATATATTTTTAAAAAATGTTCCTAAGATTTCCTCATGCGATCTGGCCGATGCCTAGAACTGGTTCCTTGGGATCCGGTAGCTGAAGCCTGGCCACCCTCCCGTACAGTGTGTTTCTTGGGTGACGAGGGATGGGACCTCCGTGAGCACACAGCACTGCAGGACTTTGTGGCACTGGACTTTCCAGAGCGTCCGGCCGGCCGGTGGTCTCTGAGCCCTGTGTGCGTGCTGTGCAGGTGAGAGCGGACCCTTCCGCTGCGCCCCGGACAGTCTGGAGGTGAGCACGCTGTGGGCCCTGGACCGGGAACAGCGGGAGAAGTACGACCTGGTGGCCAAGTGCACCATACGTACCACGGAGCGTGAGCAGGAGGTGCTGGTGCCCTTCTCGGTGAGCATCTACGATGAGGACGACTCTGCTCCCACCGCCCCCGGAGGCCTGGACACCGCTGATGCCATCGTGGAGTTCAAGCGCAAGGAGGTGATCACGCTGCCTGCCCTGCTGTCCTGTTGTGCGGCCCTCTGCAGTTGATTCCCTGGTCTGTTTGTCCGTCTCACTGTCTGGGTATTCCGCTCTGTCTGATTTGAGAGCCTGGCCATGCGTCCAAGTCTATGCACGCCTGTGCTGTGCGCTCTCCGCCAGCAGCCGGCCAGGGAGCAGAAGGCTTTGAGGCTCCGGGTTAGAAGCCCCCCGGAACTGGAGAGCTGTAGGCAGGCGTGTCTCACAGGGCACCCCCCCTGTGTGGGAATGACTTTCCTGGAACTTGCAGTCTCTCCACCGCGCAGGTGGAGCGTGACCGCCACCTGCTGGGTCTTGAACCAATCTGCAGCCACTCCAGCCTGCTAGGAGAAGGTCTGCCAGGTGTTGTCTGCCAGGTGTGGGTTTGGTGGGGGTGGGGAAGAAATGCCATCCTGTAGGGGCAAAAGGCTAAGTGAGCCCCTCTGGGTGCGGAAGAGGAAGTGGTGGGCTGAGAAGCCCTAGGTGCCCCTCTGCTGAGGAACACCCACAGAAAGGCACTCCGGCCCCACTCTTGCTTGTGACCTTGAACTGACCTTGACACTGGGAGGTCCAGTTTCAAGGGAAGAGTGAGGGTGCTAGCCTGCACCACAGACCCAGTGCCTTAGAGGGAAGTCGCGCCTACCACACCAGGGGCTGGGCCAAGCTGACAGGTGGCCCCGTGGGGACTAGCACCCAGGGCGGCTCTGTGCATCTGTGTGGGGCTGGGCCAGGTCCCTGGCTCTAGGTCTGGGGTCCCTGCAGACAGTCTGACTGCCACCATCTGCCACCCCCAGGGCACCGTGGTAGCCTTGCTGCGGGTCTTTGACGCCGATGTGGTGCCGGCATCCAGGGAGCTGGTGAGACGGTACACCAGCACACTGCTGCCCGGGGACCCCTGGGCCCAGCAGACATTCCGTGTGGAGCATTCGCCCAACGAGACCCTGGTTCCAGTCAACGATACCTTCGTGCGAGCCACCATGCACGACTATAGTAAGTGGCGCGTGGCTCCTGGGCAGACTCCTGCCACTCCCTTCACCTGCCTATAGCTCACATCCTGCCTCCCCTTCCTGTGTCCTGACCTTGGCCTTGGCCGCGTTGCTGGGTTTTCACAGCCTGACCTCCTCGCAGACTCTTTGGCAGACCCCCACCCCAGCAGGGCCCCACACACTGCCAGGGTCATTGCTGCTGGAATGCCCACATCTCTGGGGGTCTGCCTCCAGCCCCGGCTCCTGCTGTTTGGCGCTGAGCTGGCCCGAGTGCAGGGACCATGGCCCCCACCCCCTGCCAGCTCTGTGCCACCCAAATCCCAAGTCTGGCGGTGCTGAGGTGGGTGCTTGCTGGCTGGGTGAGACATTTCTGTGGTTTCCCAGCTCTGTGTCCTGAGGCCACTTCCAAATAAGCCACTGGTCCTTGGGCTCTGCTTGCAGGGGTGCAGGGTGAGGGGCACCTTACACCCCACTGCCTCGGCTTTAGTCTCCCAGGTGCCCATCCCATAAAACCTTTCCAAGGCCTCCACCTGTCCCAAGGGCCATGGCTCCCTTGGTGAGCCCAGCATGTGCCAGAGCTGGCTCCCACCATTCCGTCTCTGTTAACCTGCCCATAGCTGCAGCTCACGGCAGGTGCATAGCAGGTGCATGAGAGCCTTGGGGTTCACTGGAGTGGCAGGGTTCTGGGGAGAACTCTGGCACCTTTTTCCCAGAGCCTTGGTGTGGTGTATGCCTTGGGCCCATACACCGCACGCACAGCTCGTCCGTACACAGTCATTCCACACACACACACAGCCTGTAGTTATACACAGCCTGCCCACACACACACAAGCTGTGGTTACACACAGACTGTAGCTACATACGGCCTGCTCACGCGCATCACACACACAACCTGTAGTTACACACAGCCTGCCCACACATATACCACACACACAGCCTGCCCACATACACCACACACAGCCTGTCTACACACCACACATACAGCTGCCCACACACACCACACACATAGCCTTCCCACACACACCCCACATATCCCACATCGACATACCCTTTAGATGACTTGCACATACCACATGCCCCAAAATGCACAGTCCCCACAGCATACAGACACACCATATACAAACCACATGCCATACAGGAGCCTGCACCATATAGAAATGAAACAGACAGGGGATACACACATCACACAGACACCATACATCCTTACTACAGCATGCACCGTACCCCTCACGCACTGTAAGTACTGTACCCCAGGAACTCAGTCTCCTTACCGTGCACACACGTACCCCCCCCCCCCCCCCCCCCCGCGTGCTCCCCTGCTGAGCTCTCTCCTTGGAGCCAACTGCCCGCCTCCCCAGGCATGTGACCAACAGGTGTCTTCACAAGCGATGGGCTGGGCATCTTGAAGGAGACCAGCCAGCCAGCCCCCACAGCTGGGCCCTCACTGTCACACTCCCTGCAACAGGACTGGTTCTCAACCGCAGTATCTCCATCTCCGAGAGCCGCACCCTGCAGCTGGCCGTGCTGGTCAACGATTCGGACTTCCAGGGCCCGGGGGCCGGTGTCCTCCTTCTGCATTTCAACGTGTCTGTACTGCCTGTCAGCCTGCACCTGCCCAAGGCTTACTCCTTCTCTGTGAGCAGAAGGGCCCGCCGTTACGCCCAGGTGAGTCCCCTGCCTGCCCGCCCACCCAGGGGGGCCGGCGCAGGTCCCACCTGGGAGTGGGAATGGGTGACACTCCCCGTATCTGAGATCAGTGACCCAGGAGTCTGGGAGATCTCCCAGCAGGCAGGGTCGGATAGAGACCCTCAGTGCCCTGCTCGCCAAAGCCTGTAGTGTAAGCTGGCCTACAGGGCTCTGACCAACCCTAACGGGGGGTGGTGCCTTTGCCTCCAACACCCCGGGCACGGCCTGGCCAGGTGAGTGGGTGTCAGGCTCTCAGGGGAGCTGCTGAGCCAAGCTGGGGACCAAGCTGAATACTCAGTAGCTGATTATTCTTTGCGTCCCCAGATTGGCAAGCTGTGTGTGGAGCACTGCCGAGAGCTGAGTGGCGTCCAAGTCGAATACAAGCTGCAGCCCGCCAGCGCCAACTGCAGCGCCCTGGGAGTGGTCTCCTCGACGGAGGACACCTCGGGGACCGTGTTTGTTCACGACGCGGAACTCCTGCAACAGCCCGAGTGTGCTGAGCTCCAGTACCTCGTGCTGGCCACCGACCAACAGACCGGCCAGCAGACGCAGGCCCCGCTGCTCGTCACCGTGGAGGGGACATGTGAGTGCCCTGCTTCGTGGAGGGCCGGGGCCGGGGCTGGGGTCGGTCCACCTCCTTCTGGTGTCCACCACTCCCAACCCAAGGCTGCTTTCCTCCCAATGTGTTTCATGCCCTATTGCCAAGTCCGGCTGCCCTCATGTCCCTTCATCCTTCCTGCCCCCAGGAGCTGCTCCTGGTACCCTGGCCTTGACCTCTGTGGCCAACACGGCCGGTGCTGTTGTCTGTCTTGGGGTGCTGGCTGGTACTAGGTTCCATCCGGTTCCCTCTCCCCATGACTGCCGTTCTGTCACTCCTAGATGTGGCCGAGGAGGTAGGCTGCCCCTTGTCCTGTGCAGTCAGCAAGAGGCGGCCCGAGTGTGAGGAGTGCGGTGGCCTGGGCTCCCTGACGGGCAGATGTGAGTGGCGACAGGGAGATGGGAAAGGTAGGCCACACCCCGACCCGACACCGGCCTAGTGGAGGGTGAGGACTATGGGACACCCAGAGCCCCCTCACAATGCAGGGGACAGAGACTGGGGATGGTACTGACAGGGCAAGGGCCTTCACCTCCAGAGGCACCTGACTGCGCTAAACTGGAATGGATATGGCATGTCCCAGGTCCCACTGTCAGCCTTATCCAGGGCCCCACCCACCCGTGGTCCCCTGTGCTCCTCGAGGGTCTGAACGGGCTGACAGCCACCATGTTTCCTGTTGCAGGAATCAGCAGGAACTTCTCCACCTGCTCCCCCAGCATCAAGACCTGCCCCGATGGCCACTGTGACACGGTGGAGAGCAAGGACCCTCACATCTGCCCCCAGGATTGCCTGCGTAAGCGGTGCCTCAGGGTGTGGGGGTCTGCTGGGAACAGAGAACTAGGGCCCCAACCCCTGTCTGAGCCAGGTCACCCGGATCCAGCAGACCTACCCCCAAAGCAGATCCCGGCAGCCTGTCTGCCCATCCCTGGGTGGTGGTAGTGATGGGCTGGCCAGGGGCAGCCCCCACCCAAGCGGCTTGCCCACTCAGGGGCCTCCCCTTCCTGCTCCCTTCTGGCTGAGAAGCATCCAGATGTCAGGAGGAAGACCTGGGCAGTCTGGGTTCTATGACTGGCGGGGCAAGGGGAGTGTGGTGGGGGTCAGCATGGGACCCCGTGGCCCTCCGACGTGAGGTTGAGGAAGGGGGCTCTCTGAGGCCGCGCCGGAGGCTGAGGGAGCTATGTGCATGTGTGTCCTCAGGGGGCAGCATCGTCGGGGGTCATGAGCCCGGGCAGCCCTGGGGCATCCGAGCCGGCTATGGCATCTGCAACTGTTTTCCCAAGGAGAAGAAGTGCTTTTGCGAGCCCGAGGACAGCCAGGGTAAGCTTCCCCCAAGCCCTACCCGCAGGGCCTGGTAGGGCCTCAGCCCCCTGGAGCACAGGCCTCCCCCACCCTGGCCGGCCCCACCAGGCTGCTGAAGCCCACTGTGTGTGCCCCACCCCTGCTGCAGACCCACTGTGTGAGGAGCTGTGCCGCACCGTGATCGCCGCCGCTGTCCTCTTCTCCTTCCTCGTCTCCGTCCTGCTCTCCACCTTCTGCATCCACCGCTACCACAAGCACGCGCACAAGCCGCCCATCGCCTCGGCGGAGATGACCTTCTGTAGGCCCGCCCAGGCCTTCCCTGTCAGTTACTCCTCGTCCGGGGCCCGCCGGCCCTCGCTCGACTCCGTGGAGAACCAAGTGTCCGTGAACACCTTCAAGATGCCGGTGAGGGGCCCTGCAGGGTGGGACCCATAGGGGAAGAACATCCCAGTGTTAAGGAGAGTGGCCAGGCAGGGGCTCCAAGGGCTTGGGGAGTCTGCATCATCGGAACCCGTGAGCTGAGCTGGGATGCTGTGTTCTGCCCTCTGTTGGCCAGGGGGCGGGGGGAGCACTGCCTCCATGTAGGCAGAGCTGGGGCTCAGCCAGGGCGGTGGCAGCGGTGGGGGCTGGGAGCCCACATGGCACAGAAAGAGGTTTGGAGCTCCGTGATTCCCCAGGGCTCTTGCCCTGGGCAGCCCCAAGCCTGCAGGTCAGCGTGTGCTGGCCAGGCCTCCCTGAGCCCCTGGCAGGTGTCCCGGGAGCTGGCAGCTCAGAGAGCCACAAGGGTGTTGTGTGGCACAAGGAGGATGGTAAGACATTGGCAGGAGGCCTGGGCTGGCTAGGCCTGGGAAAGGGTGGCTGTGTCTAGGGCCTCAGCAGCTGGGGCCTGATTTGGATGACACCCAGCCATCAGCGCGCCTGGGCCAAGGAGGCCTTCCTTGGTGCGGTCAGTGTCACAGTCTTCTCCCTGAGCTGTGCCTTGTGCAAGCCCAGCAGGGTTATGGTGAGGTGGGGCTTCTGTGGGTAGAGAAGTACAACCCTCGGCTGAGTCAACTCCGGAGTCCAGGGTGACGCCCTCAGGCTGCACTTGGCCCTGCCCGATCTGAGCACATGGCGAAGGGTGGACTTGCGAGTTTCAGGCCCAAGTCTGTGCCGCCCACACAGGCACAGGGTTAGTGAGTCCCTGTGTCTAGGAGAGGGGCTCCCACGCCACCTGCTCTGATGGATCCGGCTTGCTGACCCAGTCCGGAGCAGCTGAATCAGAGTTCAAGTACATGAATGGGGCTGGGGCCTAAAAGGCATCCAGGAAGGCTGTGAGTGGAGTCTGAGTTGTGGACGGCACTTTGGCAGAAGGGCCCAAGGTGGGATACCAGCCAGGGCCAAGCAGAAGCTACAATCAGGGCAGGTGGGATGGGCAGTTGGGACAGCCAGAGCCTGGCCAGGAGCTGGGGACTGGGGCAGGCACGGACTGCCCTGGCCATTCCCTTGCAGAGACGTGGGTGTCCACAGCCCCAGCAGTGCCTGATACCCAGGGAGAAAGCTATGCTACCGCATAAACACCCTCAGGTACCAGGCAGACCTTGAATCCTCATTTGAGACAAGGTCACGTGGACCCTGAGTAGCCAAGTGGCCACAACTGCTGTCCTCAGGCCCTGCCCAGCCTGGCACCATTGTCAGCGACGCAGCAATGCCAGCCCTCTGCATGCTGGGGCTGGCCTTCTTCCTTCACACTTCTCCACTCTGCTCCTCCAACTCCCATGCAGGTGGATCCCAAGTGGGAATTCCCACGGAAGAACCTGGTTCTTGGGAAGACACTGGGAGAAGGCGAGTTTGGGAAGGTGGTCAAGGCGACAGCTTTCCGGCTGAAGGGCAGAGCTGGCTACACCACGGTGGCTGTGAAGATGCTAAAAGGTAACCCAGTGCACCTGTGGGGGCCGCCAGGATTGGGGAGGCCCTTACCCCCCAGTGGGACCTGCCCGTGTGGGCCAGTGTCCTGAGCCACTGGAGGCTACTGCCCTGCCAAAAAAAAAAAAAAGCCTCTTGGTAGGAGGCTGCTGGCTGCCCACCCCATTCATTTCTCCCAGCTAGTGTCCCCTGGGACCTGATGCCCACCCCTATCCTGACCCCTGCAGGCCCTCCCCACACCCAGGTGATCCCTGTGAATCCGGCCAATCCCACTAGAAGCTGGCTCTGAGTGGGCTTGTGCCAACCTGCCTGCAGCGTCTGAGCGGCGGCTCTGGCAACACTGGCGACCCATGCTTGGCCATCTGTCCTGAGGGCCTGGTGGCAGCTGGGTTGTGCAGCCATGAACATGGGGGACCTGTGTATTCCACGCACAGGTTACTCAGCCATTCGTGGAAGCTGGACTACACATTGCAGCACAGGATGCTTACCCCCAAGCCGTAACAGAGCAGAGCCCGACACTGGGCACAGCCTGAGCTGTCCTTTGCTTGCAAACAAGTTCCTAGGGCAGAGGTGGCAGTTGGCATGGAGGGCAGGGGCATGGGGCGATTGTCCAAGACACATCCTTTTGAGTCTCAGGAGACCTGCAGGTGTAGGCACTCAACAGGAACTTGAGAGCATGGCTGTGGCCACCCCAGGATGGGTATGCTGGGCAGGCCGCTTCCACAGAGACCATCGTCTTCGTGGGCAAAGTCAGGCTCTTAGGAGACTAGGTGGTTCATTTTGAAGTCCCAAGCCAAAATCTGGGGTGAAGCTAACTGGTTGATCTCGGGGACATGAGCTGGGCTCTTGGCACTGTTGGCACATTGGAGACCCAGCTGTGGGTGATGTCCCTCTGGCAGGTGTGCAGGGACATCAGGGTGTCCCCTCACCTTTCCAGCAGCTGCCCAGACAGGAAGGCCTGGAGTGTGTCCTTGGGACACAAAGACACCTGGTCCGCTGGAGCAGACAAGTATGCATAGGCCTCTGGGTGAATCCAGCAGCCCTTGGCAATGCGCGGTTTGCCCTGTATTTCAGAGAATGCCTCCAACAGTGAGCTGCGGGACCTCCAGTCAGAGTTCAACCTCCTGAAGCAAGTCAACCACCCCCACGTCATCAAGCTGCATGGTGCCTGCAGCCAGGATGGTAAAACAGCCCCTTGGAGGTGGGACTAGGGGTAGGATCACCTGGCAGCCACTGCCATTGCCCTCTCTTGCCCTCTCCCCCATTCTTCCTCCTCCTGGAAAGCCTGGGCTTCCAGTTGCAGCCCCCAGCCTGGAGCATGTTGGGGGAATGCATTGAGAGAACCGTAGTAGACACTATGGCTTGGGGGTACAGCCCTTGCAGCCACTGGGGGACGGGGAGGGCTCAGGTCTGCTAAAGCCAGGCCAGGGTCAAGCTTGAGCCACTGAATCCCTGTAGCCAGCCACGCTGGACCAAGGTTGCAGGAAAGCCCTGGACATACCTAGCAGGCAGTCACTTCACACTACAGTGTTTGGTGAGCTGGTATCTACGTGGGTAGCCCAGTGCCTGGGATAAGTGACAAGAGATGGGTCTTGCAAATCCTCAGGTTCTGGCTGCCCTCCCAGGACTATCCACAGCCTCCTGATACCACGCCCCCCTCCACTCCCTGGAACCCCCCAGCTGGCCCACCCTCACACGCCCAGGTCTCTGTCTGTATCCCCAGGGCCATTACTGCTCATCGTGGAGTACGCCAAATACGGCTCCCTGCGCGGCTTCCTCCGGGACAGCCGCAAGGTGGGGCCCGGCTACGTGGGTGGCGGAGGCAGCCGCAACTCGGGCTCCCTGGACCACCCGGACGAGCGGGCCCTGACCATGGGCGACCTGATCTCCTTCGCCTGGCAGATCTCACGGGGCATGCAATACCTGGCCGAGATGAAGGTGGGTGCCTCAGTGGCCAGGCTGCTCCCAGTCCGGTTCCCTGCCTGGCACCCCCGGCCTGAGGCTCCCTGCCATCTCCTCCCTTGCAGCTGGTGCATCGGGACCTGGCCGCCAGAAACATCCTGGTGGCTGAGGGGCGGAAGATGAAGATCTCGGACTTCGGGCTGTCCCGGGATGTCTATGAGGAAGATTCCTACGTGAAGAGGAGCAAGGTACCGCTCATGGGCTATGCCACCTGTACCTGCCGTGTGATGGGATGGGGGTCGGGGAGGGATAACAAACGTGTCCAAGCCCTCTCTCCTGAGTCCCGAGAACCTGCTATGTCTGTGGCTCTTTGGTCCCCTCAGGGGCCTCAGGGCCTGACCACTGTCCCTTTCGAAGGCCACCTGCTGCTGGAGAAGTCATGCCTGCTCTCGAGGCTGTTGCTGTCTTCCCTCTGGGTCTCCATGGCTCCTGGCAGCTTGTGGCTTATCCATTGTAGCAGGCAGTGGCCTACGTTTACATGGAGGGGCTTCCAGGCAGGTGTGGGACCCCCTAAGAGCAGACTTGAACCTCCTCCTACTCTCCAAAAGAAGGAAAGCACAATTGGTCCGTGCTACAATTGATCTTTGCCCTATGGGGTAGGGAGAAAGGAGATACGAGTCATGATGGGAGAACCATGGAAGGGGTCGTCCAGGGTGGCCTGTGTGGCAGGTGAAGTGGACAGGTACCCGCCCCTACACTAAGTCCCCTCGCCCGCTGGACACTGCCCCAGTGGAAGGACCTAGGGAACCCTTGAAAGCTTCAGTGGGTGTTGGGTTGAAGCCCAGGATGTGTTTATTTTTGTAAATGGATTAGTCAGGGTCTTAAGGATTTGCATGTGGGAAAAAGCTGCTTCTCAAGTTGCATTGGGAAGTTGCATTTTGGGGGGACTTAGGGAGCAGGTCCAGTGCTCCTATGGGGATGGGGCACTCCCTGGGATCCCATAAAGGGAGCTCCACCAAGCCACCCACCTCGTGAACAAGGGATGCCTTCACTTCCTGTGGACAGCATCAGGGGTCTCTGGCTATGGGTCTCCCTAACATGCTGGTCCTTGGGGCATCCACGCAGGCCTGCTCCAGGCCAGCTTATTTCCCACCTTCCTTGGGTTCGGTTTCTGGCAGGGATGTGGGCGCACTGGCTGGGGCCTCAGTCTGGCCTGTGGTTTAGCCTGGAGCTCTGGCCCCAGCTCACTAGGGAACAAATGCTGGCTGCCAACAGCTCATCGTGACCTGTGTGCCTGTCTCTGCACCCCCGCACAGGGCCGGATTCCAGTCAAATGGATGGCGATCGAGTCTCTTTTTGACCATATCTACACCACGCAAAGTGATGTGTGAGTGCAGGTGCTGCCTTCCTGGGGGTGGTGGAATATGTGATGTCTGTGCACCGCCAGCCCTGGGCCCCCTTCTCAGATGCCAACATCTGGGCAGCCCTGAGCTGAGGAGCCTTCTTATAGCCACTGAGCAAGGCCTGGCCTGGGCAGCGCAGTGTTTGAGAGAAGGGACGGGTGGCCAGCCCCTTCCCATCTGGGTTTCTGGATGGCCTGGCCAATTTCCCATCTGTGGGCCTCCTGGTGGGCCTGTACTCAGACCCAGCTATCTCTCTGGCTGACTTTGTCCCTGCTTCTAAGAAGGGCTTGTGGGGGACTCTGAGTCTGCCCAGACATGGCCTTGAGTGTGTCCATGCCCATTCTTCTCCAAAGTGGGAGCCAAAACGTGTTCAGCTGGGTTTAATCCAAGCCACAGTGGCCTTTACAGACAGACCACCCATGTTCTAGAATGTTCTACGCTGTCCAGACAGGTCTGTCTCCAATGATAAGGGTCAACTGTGAAAAGGCAGTTCCTAGGCAACTTTTATAAAAGCATTGGTTTACTTATTTGAAAGTTAGGGTTGCAGAGAGAGTCAGAGATTTTCCATCTACTGTTTGACTCTGAAGTGTGGCCATAACTGCCAGGGCTGAGCCAGGTCAAAGCCAGGAGCCAGGAGCTTCTCCTGGGTCTCCCATGTGTGTAGGGGTACTTGGACCATCTTCTGCTGCTTTCCTAGGCTCATTAGCAGGAAGCTGGACCAGACGTGGAGCAGGTGGAACTTGAACTGGTGCCCATGTGAGATGCCAGTGTCGCCAACGGAGGCATCACTCACTATGATGCAATGCCAGCCTCTAATTTTTAAGAACTTATTTACTAAAGAGAGGGAGAGCTCTTCCATCCTATTGGTTCACTCTCCAAATGGAGGTAGTGGCTGTTGGGGCTTGTCCAGATCAAAACTAGGAGTCCAGAATTCCATCCAGGCCTCCCTCATGGGTGGCAGGAACCCAAGCACTAGGACCATCTTCCACTGCCTTCCCAGGTGTGTTAACAGGAAGCAGAATAGCTGGGGCTCAAACCTTTGCTCTAATTCGGGATGTCGGCACACCAATTGGCAGTTTAGCCATGGCACCACGATGCTGGCCCCAGTTCTTCAGTAAAATTTTAAAAAGAGTTTTCTGATGTCATAAGTTGACTGATGTGGGACAGTTGGAGACTGCTAAGACCACTAAGGGAGACTACAAGCTGGCTGGGTCGCACTGCCCATCACAGGGCTGGCCTGCGGTCTTATTAGGTGTGGTTTACCACCGTAAGCGGGTTCGTGTGATATTGTCTGCTCTGTGATAGCATTTTGCTAGCATTCCACAGGTTAATGTATAGAACGTGGTGAAGTGCACGGAAAGGGAGGGGAGGGGATGGTACAGGGACCCCCAGACCTATTAGTGAGGTCCTCGTCCCTTCTGCTGCCACCTGCACCTGTTCCTTTTGTGGGTGTGGCTGTTGACCTGAAAGTAGGTTGGCCTGTGTTCCAGCATCCCAGGGATTGGGGGCAGCCTGGCAGACCCACTGCTGCCACCTGCAACCATCTGTGGGTCCAGACCAAGGAGTGGATGGGGCGGCAGCAGCTGCAGGAGTGGGTGAATGGCTGGGCTCCCCAAGAGAGCTGCTCACCGCCTGCCTGCTCGCTGCAGATGGTCCTTCGGTGTCCTGCTGTGGGAAATCGTGACCCTCGGGGGCAACCCCTACCCTGGGATTCCACCTGAGCGACTCTTCAACCTCCTGAGGACTGGCCACCGCATGGAGAGGCCAGACAACTGCAGCGAAGAGATGTGAGTGGAGTTTACCTTACCAGGCCTGTCTCCAGCACTGGCATCCAGGGCTGTGGTGGGGAAGGGACATGGGCACCCATTCTACCTGCCATTCCAGGATAGCTTAGGTGAGCTGAGCAGCTGGGAATGGCAGGGCAGAGGTCACAGAGCCACCCTTGGGTGTGGCCATGGATGCTGGGGTGCTCCTGGAGGAATATCTGGGCACAGACACTAGAGCCCTGTGAGCTCAGGGCCTGCCCGGGCGGAGTTGCTTGGGAAGGGGCAGGTGACTGAGAATGGCCAGGGCCACATGCTGGGCAGCGGCTGGGTAGAGCTGGACAGGAACAGCCTGGGTCCAAAGCCTTCCCACTTCACACCCTGGCACCTGGCTCAGAGGGTTCCGGGGATGCAGAATAGAGGAAGTAGATCCTATCATCTAGGGGCAGGGACACTGGAGCATTCATTCTGTAGTGTGTGCCTGGCTCAGGGTGAGGTGGAGCTTGTAGGGCGAGGAGGCACTGCCTCCCTGGGCAACTGTACTGACCAGTACCCAGCCATCACAATGAGTGCAGCATCCCATGTCTGGATGCAGGGAGTAAGAATCTGAAAAGCACGGTGAGCCTCAAGGGTGCTGCAGGTTCGCTGTGTCCCTGAGACCCTGGGGAGATGGCAGAGATGTACTGGCCTCGGGTGCTGGGTGTGGCTGCCATCATGCTGGTACCACGGGGCAGTGACCAACCTGTGCTCTCCTGTGCCAGGTACCGCCTGATGCTGCAGTGCTGGAAGCAGGAACCCGACAAGAGGCCGGTGTTTGGCGACATCAGCAAAGACCTGGAGAAGATGATGGTCAAGAGCAGAGTGAGTGCCCGGCTCATTGCCACAGGTGGAGCATGAGGAGACAGACCGGGAGAGACGCTGTATCCGCTGCCTCGTTCCCTAGGTGGCCACGACAACCAGCGCTGAGCCAGGATTAGAAACCAGGAATCTGGAAGGCCATTCTGGGTCTCCCTTGGCCAGGCAGGGTGGCAGAGGCCCAAGCACTCGGCTACTTTCTCAGGCGCATTAGCAGGGAGCTGGATCTGAAGTGGAGTAGCCGAGAGTCGAACTCTGGGCTCATTTGGGATTCCAGCTCACGCCATTGTGCCACAGCACCGGCCCCAGAGTCCATGTCAGTTCTTGTGGTGCTGTGAATGCAAGTAGACAAGACTGTCCTGGCAGGAGAGGGGGCAGTGCGCTCTAGGGCCTGGGGAGTGGCAGATCCACACGAGATGTGTCTGCGTGATACAGTGCACTTGGAGTTTAATCAAACATCACTTCTAAGGCCGGAGCCTGTGAGAGCTGGCTGGATTCAGGCGACGTGGCCTGGTCATGCATAGTGCACGCAGGGAGTGCACAAGGGGGCTTCCTGTGCACATTTCTCCAGCCAGGCACAGGCCGATGGGACCTGGTAGCCAAATCCTGGGCACCTCCCTGAGTGGTATGTTTGGGTCTCTGAGCCCTGATGGGATGTTTTTGTAGTGGCAGGAGGAGAGGAGGGTTAAGCTGAGAAGTGGCTGGCAGGTGGAGCAGCTGCTCGGCCTCTGCTGACTGTTGCAGAGAGCTTCCTTCAGGGCCGCAGGCACCCCCCCCCCCCACCACAAGGACCTGACATGCCTGGCTGGCCTGGGGCACCCTGGCGCTGTGTGACCCCTGCTACTGCCCAGATCCTACAGAGCACTGTCTCTCAGCTCTGTAGAAAGAGAGGCAGACTCAGTCATGCCCAGGGGCAACGATGAGGTCCCAGTCAGAGCAGGACCAGGCAAGGCAGGAGCCTGGGGACTCAGCCAGCCACACAGCCAGGGCCAGGGCTCTGCCCGATGGGGTGTGTCCTGCAGTGGCACCACGGCCAGGGTGACTGGCCCACAAGCGTGCTCTCTCTTCCTCTCTCCCGCAGGACTACCTGGACCTGGCCGCGTCCACGCCATCCGACTCGCTGCTCTATGACGACGGCCTGTCGGAAGAGGAGACGCCCCTGGTGGACTGTAACAATGCTCCCCTCCCTCGCGCCCTCCCCTCCACATGGATTGAAAACAAACTCTATGGTAGAATTTCCCATGCATTTACTAGATTCTAGCAGCGCTGTGGCCCTCTGCCCTGTCCCCTTTGCTGTCTGTAATGCTTTTCCTCTACCGAGTGTTTCGGATCGCAACAACACCTCTCTATTTGTAAATGTCTGACTTTGCATCCGGTTTATATGCAGGCATTTTTTTGCAACTCTGTTGTTTTCGTTTTTTCTTTCTTTCTAAGAGGATGTGAAAACAGGCCTCCTTTATGCACCGTTCAGCAGCTCGGGATGATTAGAACAAGAGCGATCAGGCTCTGGGGAGGCTGAGAAAACATCAAGAGAGTTGTGTGCAGGCTGGAAAGAGGGAAGAGGGGTCCCACTCCCTCCGCTGGGCTGCTCCACTGGAGCAAGTGGGCACCTGTCAGAGTCTGGGTGGGTGCGGATGAGGCAGAGCACAGTGAGAGGACAGGCCCCCCCCCCAAACTGCTGTTTTCACATCCTTTGCCTTCCCCTTCCTACGTCATGATGACTGTCACTCATGAAGCCAGTGCTAGAAGCTGGAGCAAACGTGGTCTGTGGTGCCGTGGTGTTGCAATGGACAGTAAATCCGGTTCTTGCCAAAACTCCTCCTTTGGTCTCCGATGAAATCCGTTCACATTCCCCCCCCCCCCCCCCTAATGCCATCACGGACCGTTTTGAAATGTTGGAGCTGCGAGCCGTTTCTCCGGACCGTTCCTTCCGCTTGCCCTTCCCCACCCCGCCCCCACTCTGAGTGCTCACCCCCTTTAGCGCGAAAGATGCTGGGAAGGGAGGGGGCTGGCCCTTGTGCACCCCCTGGTGGGGACGGTCCTCTCTGTTGTAGGCTCGGACAACCAGCCAGTAGGTTTCTTTGTGTCAGAGAACGTTCTAGAAGACGTTCCCCTCCCACCCCTGAGTTATTTTAGAAATTTCTATACAAATTGAACAGATCAAACATGCCTCCGATTTAAGAGCCGGAAGCTCCCGAAAGTCAAACTCATGTACCCTGAATCCAACAGCGTTTTGGGACCCCCGGTGCACAGACCCGCTAGCCATTGTCCCATGAGTCCCAGAGACCGTGAGTTCTGTTTGAGCATCTGAGGGAGTTTTGCCAAGGCCTTACTGTCTGCACATGGAGTGTGGGGGCTTCGGTGCAGAGCGAATGATGTGTTTTCATTTTTAGGCATGTCAGACCCGAACTGGCCCGGAGAGAGTCCTGTACCACTCACGAGAACCGCTGGCACTAACCCTGGGTTCCCAAGATATGCAAATGATAGTGTATATGCTAATTGGATGGTTTCACCCGCAGCAGCCAAACTAACGGACGCCTTTGATAGTTAATGGTAGCCCTGGGAAAGGTAATGGACTCGCCAGGCGAAGAACCGTGCTCACAGCGGCAAGTCCACCGGCCCCCCCCACCCCGCTGCTCCTGTGCGCACCACACCGACCAAGCCAAGTCCACACCCCAAGGTGGCAGGCTTGCTCCCGGGAGTTGGCGTTGCTGGTTGTCAAGGTGCTGTGTGCCCCAGTCGCCGAGGACTTTGCCCTTGCAGCAGACGTGGTGGCTAAGTAGTCCCAAGCACCCTGTTGGTCTGCGTCGCTCTGTGACTGCCGAGTGCAATGTGTCCCCCTCGTGGGTCTGCCGCCGAGCCCCTTGTCTGAGACATTGTACCTGAATCCTTGGGGTTTCTCTGGTTGTTGCCAAACAAAGCAACGGGGATTAGACAGGAAGCACATACACACACAGCAGGGGGTGTACAACGAGTCCAGAAGGAATGAGCCATCCTTGTTTGGGCCGAGAGCCTGGTGGCACTAGCTGACGAAGGGCCCCTTGCCAGGGCTGGAGGGACACCAGGGGACCCTCAGGAAGGGGTTGGGGGGAAACGGTGTAGCATTTGAGATCCTGAGAACAGCTCTTCCTTTTTTATGAAACAACATATAACCTTTCCTTGGGAAGGCATTTTGGTTTTTATCCTGATTCTAATGGTTCTTAGATTTAGCACAATGGAAGAAGAGTCGTGGCCATCTCACCGATGTAGACGGCAGTGTGCGGGAAGAGGGTCCCCGTCCCTGCTGGGCCCGCAGTGTCATCCTCACGCATTCAGTCCCCAGTGACCACTGTCCCCAGGTGAGGTGAGGTGAGGCAGGAGGCAGGATACAGAGAGGGCCAGGGGCTGGCGGGGGGGTCAGGGTGTGTGGCAGAGGTGGTCTGCAGCCCCAGAGTTACAGGTGTCTCAACAGCAGGGCCGCCACTAGCCTGCCCCTCCACCAACACAGCAGCAGCCAGCTCGTGTTCTGCGTTTGGAGACCCATGCACAGGGGTCGTATCCGCTTCTTGGCGAAAGGACAGTTCATCTGATGGGAGCCCAGCCTGCTCCCGATGTGGGAGAGATGGCGTCTTGGCTCTTATAGAGCTCATGTGACCACAGGCTTGCGGGCCAGCCCTCCCTGTGCTTGCCGGCGGATGCCACTAGAGCACAGTGCTCCTGCTGTCCTCCCATTCTGGCCGTGTCACTGACTTGTCTTCGCTGCTAGTTTGCGGGTCCCGTGCATTGCTGGGTAACTTGACGGAAAGCACCAGCAGCCCTGGTGGCTCGGCGAGGCCCTGTCACTGCAGGAGGCTGCCAGGATATCGCCTGGTCCTCAGACTCCCAGCACTGTGGCAGCCTAGTGGCTTCACAAAAGCAGGACTGTGGGGCGAGGAAGCGAGGTGAGGCAGCCTTAGGGTGCGTTGTGTGTGTGCGCACGACCAGACAAGTGCTTCTTGGACATGTAGCTCCTGGCTTTAGTTTGAGCCGTCTTTTCAGATACACTGTGATTCTGGTTCTTTTGGCAAATTCCCATAGTCAGGGGCATGATGTGCTTCACGGTAGTTTTACTAAACGAAAGCACACGTAGAGACACACTCTTGGTGTGTTTAAGATGCCTAGGCAGTCCCCACAATGGCTGCGGCAGGTTCACTCCCAGCCAGATGGAAAGTCTGGGTCTTCGCAGCCGACTCGGCGATTGGGAATGAACCTGTGAGTAACACTCCAGCCGTCTGATCCTGAGTTATAAAGATATCCATTGGCGTGGTCCCAGGAGATGGGATTTTTCATTTACCTATATGCAGAAGTTGCTAAGTATCGAGTATTATGGAGTGCTACGTAGTAATCTGTCCATTATGCAGGTTTGTAAAAAACCAATTATGAAATTACTTAATCATACCGTGTTAATTTGTTTTTGTAATCAAGGTGACTAAGAGTAATTTCAGTTGTGTAAATAAAATGATGCCGCATAAAGTGTGTAAACTTTTCTTTTCTCTTTAACTTCTTCATCGCAAACTTCGCATTTCTCATGCCAAAGTTTCCGTTCAAGAATTAAAATGTCGCCGGGGGGCTCTGACGTAAGTAGCAGCATCATGTGGCTAACACTGCTTGTGGCCACCATTCATCTGCCGGGATTGCAGTGCTCTGGACGCAGGGCAGACACAGGCTTGTGTATGCATCACCCCATAGCTGCCCCCAGCCAGCAAAGCTCCACCTGTCCCCTTGCCCATACCTGTTTGTGGCTTCCACAGAGTCTGCAGGCAAAGCTTCGCCATGTTTGGGTAACCCTGCTGCAGTTTCTAACAGATCCGCACTCTGCGTTTTGCATCCCGGGGGGCCAGTTGCCTGCCTCCGCCTCTACTTCGGAATGTTTGCCAGCAGCCAAGGCTGGCGCCAGCTGGTGCCAAAAGCCATTTTCCCTCCAAGAACAGATTTTTCATTAGGCATAGATGTGTGTCTATTTTTTCGTACTTCTTTTTGTCCAGAAACAACACATTTCCCTGCCCACCATGAAGCCAGCTAATATTTGGGTGGGGATCTGGTTGACTCTGTCTCAAGAGCAGGGTGAATACTTGCCAGAAGTTCAGAACACACTCCAGTCCAAAGCATCCCCGGTTCCCCCACCCCTGCCCCAGGCAGGCAGAGCAGTGGCTTTTCTGGTTTTGGTGACTGTTGACACGTACGTTGTTCCACTGCCTTTGCAACTGGTGGGTGGTTCTAGGAAGGCCTCAGAGATCCTCAGCTGGGGACAGCACTCTGGCATAATGGGTTAAGGCCGCTACCTGTGATGCTGGCATCCCACAGGGGCACCGGTTTGAGTCCGAGCTGCTCCACTTCCAATCCAACTCCCTGAATGCACCTGGGAAAGCAGTGGAAGATGGCCCAATTGCTTGGGCTCCGACACCCATGGAGGAGACCCAGAAGAAGCTCCTGGCTCCTGGTTTCAACCTGGCCCAGCCCAGGCCATTGTAGGGACTAAAACGGCAGATGGAAGATATCTCAACTCTGCCTCTCCCACTAACTCTGCCTTTCAGATAAACAAACAAAAGGAGCTCATCAGTGCTGTGGCCATGAGCAAGATGTAGCAGGAGAGGATGAGATGGGCACATGGCAACGTGGCAGGCCTCCCACAGCATCGGCAGGAAGCTGCAGAGGGTCTTGTCCCTTGCTTGGGAACTTGGCAAAGCCTTCTACCATTTAGCGGGCTTGGACTCCCATGAAGGACCCATCTTAGCCGAGATCCTAACATACCACAACTGGGGTAGGCAGAGATGGTTTGCAGGTGAAGCCCATCGTGTCCTGCCACGAGATCGGTGGACGACTGTTGACACCTGCCAGATGAGCTCCGTCCCCAGATCAAGGAGACAAACACCATTGACGCCCAAATTAAGTCTTTGCAGCTGTGGTTTTGTGTCCTGTCTTGGGTGAACAGATGTTCCCGCAGCTGTTGTTGGGGTGTGTTAAATCACAGGGCCTGGCTGCCCAAGATCACCCCAGCTGGAGCCAGGCAGGGGAGCTCTGGCGGTGGTGGCTGCCACAGGGAGCCGGGATGGACAGCCTAACCCCAGCCATAGCGATTTTAGGGTTTCCTGCTATCCCCAGGAGAAACCACAGATCCACATCCTTGCAGACTATGCAGAGCCATTCAAGTTTAAACATGTTAAGTGTTGGAGCTGGTGAGGTGGTGGTCAGGCTAATCCTCTACCTACAGAGGGTGCCAGTTTGTGTCCCCTGCATATGTCCTGGGAAAGCAGTGGATGATGGCCCAAAGCCTTGAGATCTTGTACCTGTGTGGGAGATTCAGGAGGACCTCCTGGCTCCCAAGCAGCAGCTTAATCTGCCATGCCGCAATACCTGCCCTGATTCTTAAGTTTTGAGTTGTGTGTCATTCTGAATAACGAATGTGATGAACTCAGAATGCCTTGCAACTTAGAAGGTAGAGATGCTGCTTGGGATACCAGCATCCCATATAAGCGTGCCTGCTTCAAGTCTCTGCTACTCCGTGCCTCTGAGCCAGCTTTCTGTTAACGTACTTGGGCCCCTGCCACTCAGGAGAGAGCCAGATGGAGTGTCCTGGCTGCTGTGGCCATCTGGGGAGGGAACCAGAAGATGGAAGACCTCTCTGTCTCTCCCTCCCTCTGTCACTGTGCCTTTCAAATCAATAAGTAAACACTTCTTTCAAAAGAACTTAGAAAACATTAGTTTTTAGGTTTTTTTTTATTTAGCATTTCAGACTGCAGTTGACTGTGGGGAATTAAAACCACTGGATAAGGGGGAAACTCCTTGTGGTCCTTTACTTGGCAGAAATAAAGGCCATGGCCATCTACGTAAAAATCAGCAGAAACTTTTTTCTGAGCTTGCTATAGCAGAGGATTCAGCCAGCGTCTCTGGCATGTGGCAGAGGCTCAAAGGCAGTAGAGGAGTGGGAAATATGGTTTTAAAAAAGTCAGGGAGAGGTCATAGATTCTGAGACTGACAGTAGGGTGTCTTACATGGTTACTTTGGGGAACATACTTGGCTTTCTCTGATTGGTTCTGAGTTAGAAATTGAACATGCGCATACACACACACGCAGTAGGGAAGCTGGCAGCCGTTGACCAAGTCCTAACCATGGCTGATTGTGGTGGAGGCTGTGGCTTGGCTTGCTGTCCTGGCTGCTGCAGAGGCTGTGGTCAGAGTCCTGTGGCCTGGACCTGGTCTGCACGTTCAGTCTCAATCCCCTCTTTGGGTTGTTCTTTTTGCCTGTTGACCATTTCAAGGAAGAGCTTGACAGCTCATAGGTTATCCAGCCACCTTCATGGTCAACTCGGTCATCCTTTCTGTTGCTATAATATCGTGGTGATCAGTTGATAAGAGTAAGACACAGGGACTGTGGTACAGAAGCTCAAGCCTCTGCCTGTGACACTGGCATCCATAGGAGTGCCATTTTGAATCCAGGATGCTCTCTTTCTGATCCAGCTCCCCACTAATGCATCTACAAAAGCAGCAGAAGATGGCCCTAGAACTTGGGCCTCTGCCACCTAGGTGGGAGACC